TGGAGCAACCTGATCTAGTGAGGAGGTGTCCCTGCCCATGGCAGGGGGTTGGGGCTGGGTGTTCTGTAAGGTCCATTCCGACCCTTAGATTCTATGATTCAGTGATCTCTGAAGGCTGTTTGCTGTTGGCACAAGTGGTTTTAATGCTCATGGAGACCTCAGGCTGACACTAACTCTGGCACCCAAAAAATAGTGGGAGACAGTGGGATCCACTCTGAAACTGCACAGCCTTTTGGAAGTCAATGTGATTTCAGAGCTTTCCATAAATAAAACTGTCAGAGTGAATTTAAACAGTGTTTTCTATGCTGAACCTCTCTGAATGCAAGATTTTGATAATGTTCTTTCATCCTGGTAGCATTCAGGGTGAACTCTAGGCCATCCCATATTTTTGGACTTGTATTTATCTACCATTAAGGATGCTGTGATGGGAATTAGGTTATGATCACACCTGTGGTAATGCTAATGGGTAACACAAATCCCCCTGCCCAGAGTCCATCAGGGACAGGTTCACTTGCTCGTCAATGTTTCCTAGGCAAGGCCAAGCCTTGATTGCACAATTCAAATACTTTAAGGTACAGCTTGCACATAAATACCGAGAACTGATGTTATTCTCAGTCGTTACAGGCTAGTCTTGGTGTATATATCTTCAAGATATCCAACCCATCCTGTGATGGGTTGGAAAGGAGGTAAGATATAGGGCAAGAAAAGATGATCATAGAATTTTAAGGGGTTGGAATGGAGCTTAGAAATCATCCAGACCCAACTCCCTGCCCTAGACAGGGACACCTCCTACCAGAGCAGGTTGCTCAAGGCCTCATCCAACCTGGCTTTGAACAATGCCAGTGTTGAGGCATCTACTACCTCCCTGGGCAACCTGTGCCAGTATCTCACCACTCGCACAGTAAAAAACTTTTTTCTAATTCCTAAACTTCACTCCTTCAGTTTGACTCCATTACCCCTCATCCTATCATTGCAGTTCCTAAGAAAGAGTCCCTCTCCGGCTCCCTTGTAGGTTCTGTGTGGGAAAGTGCTCTGAAGTCTTTCTATGTGAAGTGGCTGTGAGGGAGGTTTAGCCCCAGCATTGCTTACTGGAAGGCACTGAGCAGGCAGAAGAAGGGCAATATGTGCAAAGAGTCTGTGGGATGATCCTCAACTGTGAGTGTGGCAGTGCTGGTGTGTCTATCTGCTAGGGAATGCTGGTGGCAGTCCTAGGAAGTGGACAGGTGCCATCAGACCAGCAGATTAATCCACTGAAGGACACTGCAGGTCCCAAGGAAGCTGAAGGTCCCAAGTGATGTGGAGGGGGCAGGAACGTGTTCCTGTGGCTCAAGAAGTGGAGTCAGGTCCTGATGGAGAACCTAGTGTCTTGGACTTTGATCTTGTAGGTATTTGGTGATGTGTGTGAAACCCCTGGGCTTGATTCTGTAGGTCAGGAAAGCAGACTGCACCTAGAGCAGCTGAAGAGTTATGCCTAAGAAGAAAAGAAATGCTGAAAATGTGACAACTGATAGTTGTCACTTGATATGTACTTCACTTGGGCCCTACCTTGGGCCTGACTTTCTTGGGATTAAGTGTTGCTTGGAACCCTTCAGGAGCTAACTTTGAATGGCTCTGAGTCTGGGTTTAAGCCATGCAAGCCCAGTGCATTTGCTCTATCCTGTGGGAATTCAATGTGTTCTGATCCTCACTGGGGAATGAGGATGGTGCAGAGTCCTCCTTGTGTTCCCTTTGCAACCCAACCTATCTCCAACCCAAAACTGATGTCCCATGGAACTGGACAAGAAGGGTAATGAAGACTCTTGTCAACATGGTGAGGATATAGCAATGCCTGTCAGGGCTGATCCACTGAGGGATCATTGAAAATGAGGCATTCTTTGCCTCTTTTAGGAGCTTTGGATTAATTTGCCCTGCTCCTGTGCCATTAACCAGCCAAGTTACCTTTGGAATACTTTATGGAATGAAGCAGGAGCTCTCCCCAGTAAACCTGCCTCAGGCTTTAAATACAGATGCTGTGCAATAAATACTCTTCTTCTCTCTTCTAGTTCACATGAATTTGCAGATCAAGTATCTCTGCAGGGGAATGGTAAGGCCTTCAGTGAGATGAATCCCTGGATCCTGATGCTGTTAGTGGGGCTGCAAAAGGTTTCATCCCCAGATATTACTTCTCTTGACATCAGTGACTCTTCTGTTAAAGCTTTATTAAAGCATATCCCTCTTTAAAAAACACCCTTGAAAGGATTTGTCTCTTTAAAAGTGATAATTTACTGCCAAACTCTGAGATGTGGAAAATTATTCACTTTTATTCCTCTTTTTTTTTGCTAACCGAATGAAAAGAGAGTTGAATGTTTGAAGGATGGAGCTGAGTGTCCATGAAATGATCTGTCCTTGTGAAACTTCACCCTCCTGGCAAGCAGCTGAGCCAACAGGTTATTAGTGAGAGCTTCCCATCTCTGGCAGTGCAGGGAAAGACATTCCCAACCACAGTTAACATGATTTTGCCATGGAAATCAATACACAGTGTGTGATGAGAGTTAGCTGTATGAAGAAAAGAGCAAGTTTTGTTGTGTTTGGCATAATAAATACAGATAAACAATGAATCTTGTTGGTTTTGGAGCACTGGAGTCCCTACCAGTGAAGATGTTCAATAAAAAGATGAACCTTGTTGAATGAATTAGGTAAACTGGAAAATATCTGTATTGAAGGAAATATTTGCAGCAAGTCAAGTAATTTCCAAGTCAAAATCAGTTATTCTGACATTCATTTTGTACAGGGATAATTACTGTTTGCATTAGAACATGTGATATTATGCTTTTATGAATGACTGGGTGTTTATGATATGTTGACAATGCTCA